GACCCAAGTTCCCAGCCGAGGCAGCTTTGGTGATGACGGACACGTGGCTTTTGGCACCGAGCTCAGGTTTCCTAATTTCCCAAAATAAAATATTTTAGGAGGTGGCGGACTTCTGTATTCTTGGCAAAGCAGTCCATGATTTTGGCACTTCTTTTCAAAAATCAGTTTTTCTCAAAAACGATTTGCCGGATTTGGGGACTTCTTTGGTTCAGACTTAGAACCGTGACGATTTGAGAGTTCCGAGCTGTAGTGACCCCAAAATGAACCGACGGGACTTAACCCTCCCGGGAGCGTTCGGGACGTCTTACAGCTGGGCCAACCCACAGGCCAAAAAAATAGGCCTAGGCCCAGGCCCAAGTCTAGGGGTATTCGGGCTTGGGTGGGCCTGACTAATTTTTTTTTTTTTTTAATTTTTTTCTACTAAAATTTTATTATTTTTCATAAAAAGACATTGGGCTCGGGGGCGGGCCTTGAGTGGGCTCAAGCGAGTGCTGATTGACTGGGACACGGCAGGTCGGCCTTCAAAAAGATGGCTCAGGCCTAGGACTCCAGGGCTTGGCTCGGGCCTAAACGGGCCTGGCCACCCCTAGCTGTTGGCGGCATCAAGCTGCGGGCCATTTTTACACTCCTATGTTTGTCTTATTTGGGTGGGATGTTTGGTTCACTCAATGTTTTTTTTTTTTTTTTTTTATATAATATAATTTTTTTGGGTTAATTACAAAAAAAATCCTAGGGTTTTGCATGTTTTCAATTTTTTTGGTCAATTTGGCCCCTTCGTCCATCTCCGTCATAGTTAAACTAACAGAAAATTGGAGAATTTTAGATTCAAATTCACATGTTCAAACACTTGAATCTCCTCATCGCAAGTCTGTTTTGTCTCATTTTTGAGTCGTTGGATTCACCTCATAGTCTAGTTTTCATTCCACTCTTTATACGCCTTGTTCCACATCTGTTTTACTTGCCGTCAGAGCTTCGAAAGTTGGCCAAAAAATTAAAGATTCTTCTTCTGTTGGACAATTTTTAGATTCAAATCCAATATTTAAGCACTTGTATCTCCCTCATCCTAATTTCTGTTTACCTTCATTTTCGCGTCGTTAGATTTCATTCATGACCTAGTTTTTATTTTCATCCCTCATATGTCTTGTTTCACCTTCTTTTTGCATGCCGTCGGAAGTTCTGAAGTTGACCCCAAAATAAGAATCTCTTTCTCTCTCTTTGATTTATTTTTTGTTTTTTCTTGTTGCTATTCACAACAAATTCTTGGACGGTGAGAGGATGCAACGGATGGTGCTTGGATTGGAAAACCAAGGCGCCCTAAACACGCTCACCACCCATTTGGGTTTTTAATTTTTATGTTGTAGTTGTATACCTATACACTACTCGACGACACCGCCACCATTACTACCACCACCTCATCTTGCAGGATAATGATAATAAAGCAGCAGTATCAGTAGCAGCAAGCTTAGGAGGAGCTGCGGAGAGGAAGGGAAGAAGAAGAAAAAAAAAGAGAAAAAAAGCTTATTTTTGGTCAAATTTTGGGAGATCTGACGGCATGCAAAAGAGGTGAAACAAGGCATATGAGAGCGTGAAATAAAAATTTAGGTCATGAGTTGAATTCTAAAACAACGGAAAAAATGAGATGAACGAAGTTACGAGAGATGGACTACAAAGTGATTGAATATGTTGGATTTGAATTTGAAATTTTGCCCAAAGAGAGAAAAATCTTATTTTTTGGCCAAACTTTCGGAGCTCTGATGGACAAGTTAAAAAGAATGGAACAAAGGCGTAATTGAAGAGTGGGAATGAAACTAGGCCATGAAGGTGAATCAATGATGCCAAAAATAAGGCGAAACGAAGTTACTCGACGAGGGGATTACAAGTGTTTGAATATGTTAGGTTTGAATATGAAATTCTGTCCAGATTTTCTTAGTTTAATATGATGGAGATGGATTGGAGGGGCCAGATTGAAACACGGATGAAACTTAGGGTTTTTAATTTGTTGAATGGAAATTCTAGGATTTAAATTAAAACAAGTGAAACCCTGAATTTTTTTTAATAACCTTTTTTTTAATTTTTTTTTTTTATATAAAAAGTGTATTATTACAAAAATGAAATTACCATTTAACTATAGTAAAGAGAGTGCCATTTATTCTATTCTTTTTATTACGATAAAATCAAGCCACCTACTTTAAAATTGATCAAAAGAAAAATATAACAATATGAAAATTAATGGATTATGGAGTCTGTTTTTATTAAGCCTTTCAGGTTAGTTCATTTCACTGTTTAATTAATTAATTATTTTTTTTGGGTTGATTTAAAATGGCTTTTTCAGGTTCAATTAAATCAAAACGTTAACCAAAATTTAAAAAAATTAAGTCAAAAATTGCATTTATGCAGTGGAGGATTTATTTTGCAAATCTTCTCTTCCCGTCTAGACTGAGCACTTCAAAGCCTCGGCCAGACCGAGCACTCAAAGCCTCAGCCAGACCGAGCACTCAAAGCCTCAGCCAGACCGAGCACTCAAAGCCTCAGCGAGACTGAGCACTCCAAGCCTCAGCCAGACTGAGCACTTCAAAGCCTCGGCTAGACCGAGCTTTCAAAGCCTCAGCCAGACCAAGCACTCAAAGCCTCAGCCAAACTGAGCACTCAAAGCCTCGGCCAGACCGAACACTCAAAGCCTCGGCCAGACCGAGCACTCAAAGCCTCAGCCAGACTGAGCACTCAAAGCCTCGGCCAGACCAAGCACTCAAGGCCTCAGCAAGACTGAGCACTTCAAAGCTTCGGCCAGACCGAGCACTTCAAAGCCAAGCAGAACCACATTTTCAACACTTAGTCACATTCTGAAGCTTCTTTACAGTTCTAGGACCACGTCTTTACCTAGTTAAATTCTCCACATACTCTCACGTATTACATTTACTGATCAGATTATTTGCCAACTATTTAGTTACAATTTACAACCTGCCTCTTACTCCAATTTTTCCATTATCTTTTCCATTTTCATACAACTCCAATCGCACTCTGCAGGGAGGAACTTTTAACTTTCACGTTGCACGATATTTTTATTGACCCAATCTTTATGACCAGTTTTAATCACAACATTTCATTCATGCTGGCAACATAAGCAAAATACACAAAATTCAACTGGCTATACATTCATCCATTACAATTAAATAATCTTTGTACACAACTTCATTACAGTTAAATTCTCCATACCTTCATTCATTCACTCCTTTACAATCCTTTAAAATTTGTTTACAAGAAAAAAAAAAAAAAAACAAACAAACACAGAGCACGCCCAGTTTTTCTTCTCCTTGGCTACTCCTCCTCGCTAGATGCCAGATCCTCTTCTTCAACGCCTTCGTCCAGGGGGGTCTGGGCCACATCATCTTCACCTATCGTTACACTACTAAGGTCCAAGTGTGGGAACAGCTCTTCAGCTCTGCGCTTGAACATTTTCCAACCGCTGTCCCAGAACTCGGTCATTTCGTGCTTATAGAAGTCTGACTGCTGGAAGCTTTCAATCACCTCTGCCTCTGTCCTACCTCCAGCAGTCTTCCTTGATGGGCCCATCCCTCCAGACTCTTGACCAGCCAGACTCCTGGCGACAGCATCATTCACCACCATCTGAAATTCGGGGGACCCTTTATATTGCTCCACTGCTGCGACGCATAGATCAGGGTAGGCCGCCTTTTTAGACGCCGCCTTCGCCCTCTCCTCGTCCAGCTCCCTTTGCAGGGCCCCTTTTTCAGCAACCGCCGTCGCCCTCTCCTCTTCCACCCCCTTCCTCAGACTCTCCAGCTCCGCCGCCGCCTTCGCCTTCTCCATCTCCCACTCCCTCAGAAGCCTCCCCTTCTTTTCCTCTGCTCTGGCACGCTCCTCCCCCAACTCCTTCAACAGATCTCCAATTCTGAAGTCCGCTTCATCCTTTTGCCTGACCAGCTCTTCATTGCTGGTCATGGCCTCTTCATGCCGCTCGATTGCCACGGCGCAGGCCCATTCAGACTCTTCCAACTTTTTCTGTTCACCAGCCAGTTGGAACTCAAGCGACACAACCTTACGGCGTGTGTCCTCCAGTTCCAACTTGACTGCTGGCAGATCGGCATGGGCAGTCTTCCAGTCGGCACTATCCTTCTTTAATTTGGCCAACTGGGCCCTGGCCTCCTCAGCCTTCAACTTGGCAGCCCCAGCCTTCCTAAGAAGGGCCCCCGCCAAGGTAGTTACCTCCATTTGGGCGGAGCATAACCCCCTCAGCAGGTCGGCCTCATTATACCCAGATGCCGCGCGCAGAGCTCCCTCCTCTACAATCTTCACCAGGCAGTCTGCCCCTGTCCTGGCTGGGCCTTCTTCTCCCTCCAACCTTCCAGCCACCGCGCGCGCATGATAAATCGCCGTAGCCAGACGAACCCCTCCTTCCTGGGGGTCAGGCCTCTTCTGGACCTGTTCCCCTCCGCTCGGTGCCGCCTCACTCACCCCAGCCTCCACTTGCACTGGTGGAGCAATCTCCACAACCTCCACCGTTGGGATGATCTCCACCACCTCTGGGGCGTCCTTTGCCACAGGGACCTCTACCTCCGTTGGAGCCACCTTCGCCCTCTTGGCCCTAGACTCCTCTGCAGCTTCCTCTGGGGCACTCCTCTGCTTCTTCTTCTTCTTTTTCAGAACCTCCACCCCCTTTCTGGCCTTTTCTTTTACAGGGTCTACAGGCGGCGGCCGCGGCTCAAAGCTGCTTAAGTCTTTTTCCCCCAATGGCCTGGGGCGCGGTCGGATCCTCTCCCGCGCGATCGGTTGAGGCGGTCGGTCCCTCTGCGCCTCCATCAACTTCGCGGCCTTAGCCATAACGGCTCGATCCTCTACCTCCTGCGCTCTTCTCCTCTCCTCCAACTCCGCCCGGCCGAGGTCTCCACCTTTCGGCTGCGGTCCCAGCCCCGCCTCAAACAGTGCAGACGGCTGGACAAGATCGTCCCATTTGGCCTTCTCTCTCTCTCTCCACTCCTTCACTCTCTTCACCCTCTCTTCCGCCACCGCCCCCAGTCTCGACTCCATCGACCGGGTTGGCACCTTCCAGATGGTGCGTACCCCCATCCCCCCATTAACTGCCACGAAGAACCACCGTGGCCGCCACCCCTTGATCGACGTAGGCAGCCCTGCCACCAATCCCCTCCCCATCACCGCCTGTAGGGTGACCCAAGTTTCTTGCTGCCCCGACGCCTTGTAACATGAGAAGAACTCGTCTATCGTCATGGCCTCCCCCCCATTCGCCTTAGGCCACGCACTCGCACAGGTCAGCAGAATCTTCCACGCATTGGGCATCAATTGCCCCGGCGCTACCTCTAGGCGATTTAGCACGTCAACCACCACTTGAGGCAGTGGCAGCCTCAGCCCCCCTTTTAGCGCCTCCTCGTATAGGGAAAACTCCCCTGGCCTCACAGTAGACGGCCTTTCCCCTGATGTTGGCAGCCGTAACTCTACCTCCGCCGGAATTTGGTACCGTCCTCTAATCACCTCCAAATTTGCCGCCGTGAGTGTGGATCTATCCGCCTTAGTGTGCCACTGATCTGGCTTAGTGGCTGTGGCGCCAATACCAGGATCGACGCCTGCGATTCTCCTACCGTGTCCCCCACCATTCGCACCTCCGTCCTGTATCGCGCTGCTAACTCCTCCGCATCATCATCCCCTAGCGGGTCCACCCTCACATTGTCTACTTCTTCTTGTGCCATTTCTAGGGTTTGCTTACAAAACACTGCTGACGCAGACGCAAGGAAGTTGAGAGGATGCTACACAGATATGTTGTACGCAGTGAAGGAATTAACACTTGGATACTTTGAGTTTTTGTAAAAAGGTAGGTGAAACGCATTATACCAAAAACCCACGGTTTTACCGGTATCCCATGGATCCACATTAATTTTCGCCCGTTTCAAAACCTTTCAAATCAACGTCCAAAACCGCCTTTTCAAAACCCCCCTCGTGACCTATCGTTTCATTTCCGCTCCAACGTTTCATTCCCCCACGATATCGCCACGTGTATGGCCACGATGCACTGTCCCCTCCCCTTACCCTGTCCTTTCCATTTCACATCATCACATTTTTGAGCCCCGCGCCGTCCTGGTCTGCACGCCTCACGGTCGCCCCCTCCCACTCGGCCACCCTCGCGGTCGGCACGCCTCACGGTCGACCCCTCCCGCTCGGCCACCCTCGTGGTCGGCACGCCTCACGGTCGACCCCTCCAGCCCGGCCACCCTCGCGGTCGGCACGCCTTACGGTCAGCTTCTCCCGCTCAGTCACCCTTGCGGTCGGCACGGCTTCCAGTTGGCCTCTCCACTCGGTTCACACTTCTCTTCCTTATTACTATTCCCTTCGTTGGGCTAAAGCTGCACTCGGAAATGGGGGACTACTGACACGGAGAGGCCCACAAGGCATACGGCCCACAGCAAACCACCCCAAACCTATCGCTTGGGACCAATGGCATAACCCGGTTGGCAAAGCCCAGGACAGCTGGAGGCCATCTAGACATGGAGGGCCAATGGCATTTGGGCACATGGCTGGTGGGACACGGGCCACATCAGCAGACAAAGATCTGCAGAGTTATTATCACAACATATCACCATTAATGCATCCCATCACAGCATTTATTACGACAACACCCCCCCGTCAGAATAGAGCCCCATCACCCTGAACAAGGTAAGCTACGGCACAGGCTTTCGGCGAAAGGAAGCACGTCACAAGAGACAGGGAAATGATGACCAAAGGATATAAGCAAGGATAGAAAGACAAGAATAAGGTTAAGTTATCTCTCTCTTGATCCCTCTCTCCATATTCCCTACTTCTTCCTTTACTAATTCTCATGCCGGAGGGTTCACTGGGGGACTGCCCCGTTTCCCTTTGGGCTTGCATGCAGGTCATTTGACGGAATCATCACCCCGAACCGGAACCTGAAGAGCCTGGACCAGTCCGACCCATTCACCCGGGAAGAAGAACGTTATCAGTTCAGATCCTCGAAGGGATTCTAGATGTGAACCCGCCTCCAATTCCTCATTTTCTTCAAGCCCTTGTCAACCGCTAGGATTGTACAGTTTTCTCATTTTTTCATTGAATTCTCTCCAATCGGAATTTACAACCATGGAGCAATCCTTGTGCGTGTCTAGTTTCAAATCAAACAATAAAAAATGTATGTCCTTGCATACTTCTCTATTCTCTTTTAATTACTGTATATATATTCTGCTATTTTACAGAAGCCTTGGACCCATGTCGGTGTAAGGCTTCTTTTGTTAGTTTTTATCTATTGTTACTTCTATATTCATTAGCATTAGTGTTGTTTCATTGTTTTAGTCAATGTGTTTGGCATGGTTTTCCTTTAGAAAGCGTTTAATTTTTTCATGTAGGTACTTTTCAAAATTGTAAGTTCGTTTTTTTTTTTTTTTTTTTTTTTGGGGAAAAAAGGACGCTCTGTGGGCCATTGTAACATCCGTGGGCTCCAGTCTTGGATAACCGGTTTTCAGTCAGATTTAACTTAATTCAAAAGAAGGGACACACTACTGGGGAATACAAATGGACCTCACCCGCTTGTTACATAGGAGATAAAGTGTCAATTCGAGTACAGCGTGATGAGCTGAAGCAAATTGGCACCTTTGAGAATTGACACATGCTAGGTTGGGTGGAGGGGAAATGCGTAATCCATTGGGTCACCACTCCTAGTGGTTTTCAAAATTGTTAGTTTGCGAAAGGAAAATAAGCCCCCAAGGGTTGGAGAAACCGTACATAAATCATATACAAGATGTGTAGTGTTAAATATCATGTCATAATTAAATCATTTTCAGTTCTAGCAAAAAAAAGGAGTCATAACCAAATATTACATAAAATATAACTAAAGAATTTTTGGATAAGAACCAAAATAATAATCATAATAGGTTATAATTAATATTACAATAAGTTATAATTGATATCATAATGAGTTACAATCAAGTCATAATAACTAATATTACAATATGGCATAACCAAAATATTATACATATATATATTTCAAAAAAAAAAAAAAAAACTGTGTTTGGTAACGTTTACGTTTTCAGTTTATATTTACAAAAATTTTATAAATTGGTTTTTGTTTATTTTTAGAAAAACATAAACCGCAAACGCGTTTGGTAATTGACAAAATGTTTAAAAATTTTTAAAAAATATAAAAAGAGTGAAAAATGGCAAGTGGCGGCGAAAGACGATGGTGGAAAGTGGTGACAGCGGGTGGTGGGTGACGGTGGCGGGTGGTGGGTGGTAGCGAGTGGGATTAGTTGATTTATTTAGAAAGAATAATGCTATATGCATTAATTAGTGTATTAACTAGTGTATCAATTGCTGATGTAGCATAACTTAAGATGTTTTTTGTATTTGTAATTTATATAATGAGTGGGGTTAATAATAATGTCATAACTAGTGTTGGTACACTAGTTAGTATACTAATTGGTCCATGTAACACAACCAATTTAGAAATTAATCAATTAAGACTTAACCCTTGCCATGTCTTTGTGAATAAATATGAGGGTGAAATTTTAGGTTCTCTAACATTACTCATAAAAAAGTATACATACCATTTGATTTTTAAAATTCAAAACATTACTGACATGTAACGCTTTGTTTTAATAAAATCAACTTGATAAAATTGATATTATTTAAAATGTGAAATAATTAGAGATCATTTTATTCGACATTTCAAAATACTAATGAAATAAAAATTTAGTAAAATAATTTTTACAAAATTAAAAAATCAGCTTATTATACATTTTATAAATACTCACAAATAAAAAATTAATAACAAATTGTTGAAAATCGGAAGGGGTTGGAGTCCCTCTGGATCCTCACACAGTTTCATCCCAAAATGCAATATAATTAAAACTTGTACTCATAAATTTATTAAAGAAAGTTTAATATGTGATCTAAATTCATTTTAAGTATAGACCCTATTATGTAAAAATTGAATTTAGATTATACATTAACTTTTATAATAAAATTCTGAATAGACTAATTAAATGATACAAACCTTTTTATAACTTGTTCTTATATTATTATGTTAGTTATAGTAATATTTGGAAGAAAAAAACAACTTATGTTGTGTTTGGTTAGGGATGTAAATCTGGCCCAGCCCAGCCTGGACCGGCCCATGTCGGGTCTCGCGGGCTTCTGCCAAAATTCAGGTTGGGCTGGGCCGGGCCAACCCACAGGCCAAAAAATAGGCCTAGGCCCAGGCCCAAGTCTAGGGGTATTCGGGCCTTGGGTGGGCCTGACTAATTTTTTTTTTTTTTAATTTTTTTCTACTAAAATTTTATTATTTTTCATTAAAAAAGACATTGGGTCTCGAGGGGGCGGGCCTTGAGTGGGCCTTAAGCGAGCTGATTGACTGGGACATGGGCAAGGTCGGCCTTCAAAAAGATGGCTCAGGCCTAGGGACTCAGGCTGGGCTTGGGCTCGGGCCTAAACGGGTTTGGCCCACCCTGAGCCGTGGGCGGCCATCAAGCTGCGGGCCATTTTTACACTCCTATGTTTGGTCTATTGGGGTGGGATGTTTGGTTCACTCAATGTTTTTTTTTTTTTTTTTTTTTTTTTTTTATATATATATAATTTTTTTTGGGTTAATTACAAAAAAATCCTAGGATTTTGCATGTTTTTCAATTTTTTTTGGTCAATTTGGCCCCTCTGTCCATCTCCGTCATGTTAAACTAACAGAAAATTGGGCAGAATTTTATATTCAAATTCACATGTTCAAACACTTGCATCTCCCTCGTCGCAAGTCTGTTTAGTCTCATTTTTGAGTCGTTGGATTCACCTCATAGCCTAGTTTTCATTCCACTCTT